AGCGTACATGCCGTATAGCAAAAAAAAAAAAAAAAAACTCTCAAAAAGAAAAATCTAATAGTGACTAAAAACAAGTAAATTGATATTTTTACTACACTGTGAGAATCACTAATGAATGTCTGGTAGTTAGGGCATCGGATCTCTCATGGTTGACCGTAGCACAGTTCAAGTCCTGGATCTGATGGCTTCAAAATCACTCCAAGCATGTGTGCATGCATACCCAAAGTCCAGAGAGGAGAATGGAGAAAGGACTGTGGTGTGGTTCTCCCCTGGGGGTGATTTCTCACACTCCTTCTCTCTATATATATATGTCTTTCAGCAAGTGCATGCACCTTATGCAAACTTAAAAAAAAGATGATACAGGAACACATTAGAAGAATGTTATTCTACTCCTTACCCTTCTTTCTGTTACTGACTAGCTCCCATATACATGTTATTACCTGACATTGTACACATTCTGCTTATCTGTCTATTTCTATCTCCCCACTTTAGAATGAAAACTCTACAAAAGCAGGGCATTGTTGCCTGTTGTGCTTATCCTTAGCCTGTCTAGCACATGGTAAACAACCAATAAGTATCTAAGTTTTGGTTGTAGGTATTACAACAATTAGGTCTTAAAGTAACTTATTTACTTGTACAGTTTCTAATTCTTGAAATATTTTTTGAACTGTGATTTACAAAAATAATAGTAACAGCAGCAACTAACATTTATTATGCACTTTTCATTCCTATGCATTGTTTTAAGTGTTTCTCATAAATTATCCCACTTAATCCTCACAACAGCCATAAGAAGTAGCAGAGTTAAGTCAGTCAGTGTGTCTGGTTTTGAATTCTAGGCCTATCATGTACTAGCTTTGTGGCCTTTGGCAAGTTACTTGAAATCCAAGTAGTCTCGTCTTTAACATGAGGACAATAACAGCATGATCTATCTTGATGATTATTTTATACATAATAAACATTTGATAACCATCACTATTAATGCCCTTTTATAGAGGACCATCGAAGTTCAAATATTTATTTATTTTTAGACAAATTTTTGCTATAGGGCATGTGTACTTGTCAGAGAAAAAGAGACAGAGACAGAAAGTGAGAAATCAACCCCCCCGGGGGGGGATGACCACCCACAATCTCTTCTCCATTCTCCTCTTGGGATTTTGGGCACGGAAACCTGCCTGGCATGAGTTTTAAGCCCTAGGGTCTAGGACTTGAACCGCAGTTGACTATGTGGGAGTCCAATGATGTAAACATTACGCCATCTGTTGGTCCCAAGGTTCAAATATGTTAAGTGGTCCCAGGTCACAACTAATCTATGGAGTAAGAATTTGAACACAATTTTAACTTTTTCATTCCACAGATGATGCTAGGCAAGAGCTTAGCCATTACATCCATCTGTAAGCTGTATTGATTGTACAGGTGGATATTTATTTATTTTTAGGTTTCTGCCATAAGGTGCTGCACTCACTGGAGAGAGCCAGAGAAGAGAGGGAAAGTGAGAAATCACCCCCTGGAAGGATGGCCATGTCACAATCCCTTCTCCTCCATTCTCTTGGGATTTTGGGCACATACACATACATCTGGCATGACAGTTCTTTTTCAAATCGCCAGGTTAAGGACTTGAATTGTGGTTGGCCATGTGGGAATCCAGTGCCTTAACCTCCATACCACCTGCTGGCCCCACAGGTAGATATTTTCAGTTAGGTGTCAGAAATATTACCACCCTCTGACCTTCCTGGTTTCCATAAAGTTCCAGACAATGACTGAGGGCAACTGATTTTCTCCCTCTTGTTTGCCTCAAAATCTGCAAATCCTCTTGGGAGAGACTTAGGGTCTACTATATGACTAGTCATATTAGTGCCTCACTTAGTGGTTTGTTTCCTTATCAATAAATAGAACATTATGGGATTAAGTGGGATCCAGAGTGCAAAGAGCACATCTTTCAACCTGACTTCTTCAGCCTAATTCTCTTCACACCCCACTGCCTGCATACACACTGGAACATCAAACCCTCTCACACCCTCATTCCAGGCCTTTCCACTTCTTCCTTCCCTTCTACATATTCTTCTTTAATCCAGGTTAAGTGCCAGGGAGAAAGTCCTGGAGAAAGCCAATTCTGACTTTCCAGTCTGACTTTCCAGCATCTGTCCAAGTGGGTGCCCATGGGCACTCATACTGCCGGTTAATTGTAGGTTTACTCATCAGTCTTTTCCACTCCACCATGACCTCCTTTAAGGGCAGGGCCCAGTTTATTCACTTTGCCACTGTCCCTGGTACCATATAAATATTTGTTGAGATTAAATTTATTAGGCTAGAGCTGACACATAAAACACTCTGAACAAACATGAGTTCCCTTTAGGTTTTCTTATAAAAAGACAATAGGTAGAAAGAATTCACAGTTCATCAGAGCACATTCTAAGAACAAATTCGGTAGTTCTGATTCTGGTCTTGGAACACCAGAAACAGTCCCTGGTCATCCATCAGGAAAGTACTTACTGAAACCAAATTGAGAACTTAAGAAAAGAACAAAACCATAAATCGCTCTTTCTGGCAATGGCGACGGTGAATTTTCCACCATTTTCCCTGTGGCTTTGGACAATCTGTATGAAAAGGAAGACAACCATCCATCAGTGATCAACTCCCTTCCCCATTGGTTTATTATAACCTCATCGCTTTGCTATGGGCATGGCCTAGGCAGAGCAAAACTGCCGTCCTGCGCACACACTTCGAACAGACGCCCCCGTGCTTGCTCGCACATACACACACAAGCACACGCACACGCAGGAGCGCGCACACCCAGCAGCGGAGGAGACAGCAGAGGATAGAGGACGGGGATGGAGAACAAAGACACTCCAGTCCGACGAGCTTGGCCTCCCTGCGTTAAGAGAAGCGCAGGGCAGGGCGGAACTGCGCGGCGCCCATGAGGACGCCGAGTCTACCCGGCCTTGGCGCCTAAGCCCCGACCCTCCTCTCGTGGGGGCTTCTGTTTCCAGTCGGGGTTGGATGGGAGAGGCCCTTGACCTTGGGTCCTTCCTGCACCTACCCAAACCCCTCCCCACAACTCGGCCACCTCAGCTCTGAATTCTCTGCGCAAGCGCCGACCAAGCAACCGCAGTCGAAAGAAAGAAAAAAAAATCGAGGTAAAAACCGCCGCTGGACTGCGCCTCCAGCCCGGGTGCAGGCGCAGGCGGC